GATGTTACCGAATCGATATTCATCGCTGATCGATATCAAGTTTCGATAGCAATTTCGATGTCAGTCTTACCGATGCGCAACACCCTAATATGAAATACTACACCCAGAGAATATTTATGGAAAGATTATCTATGAATCCTTCAAATTCGACAAAATTCCCGTTAATGTAGAAGCAAAATTTCGAGTCAGGGACACGCGGGTAAAGAGAAATATTGTCATGACGAAACGAGGGAAGAAGGAAGGAAAGAAGGATAGCGCTCAGTCGCTCGGCACCGTAGCGAGGATATCGCGGATGCAAATAAGAGAGGAATACCAGACGCGATCCCCGAGGCTGTAAATTACCGAAATAATCCCGCGGTTAATTCCTACCCGCGCTTTATTACCGCTCTTGATCCGTTAAAATTAAATTCATAAATACCCGCCAATCTCGCGCGCCGGTCTCGAGACTCTCCCTCGGCTCTCCTCGTGGGGCCCTTTCGTCCGTCCGTTCGAGCCGCGTCGCGACGCACAACGTCGTCGTCGATCGCACGCACCGACGCGTTAGACGTTTTAAGAGAAGACCGAAAAGACTGGTGTTTCTCGTAGGCACTCACTCAAGACTAGACGCTCCTACACGAGGGAGAGTGAGTTGTAACACGAAAACTACATTATACTATTCAAACGATTGCAGGCCACGGCGGGCAAGTTGACATTGTTGTTTCTGAGGGTCGCCTCGGGCCCTGCGAATATCTTAGCGTCGAGTGCACGCTACGTGGAGATATATGTTCCCGCGAATGTGTGTACGTATATTTATATATACACGTATATACACACGTGTCCGTGTGCGCGTGTTATGTGTGCGTACATGTCGTGGTACAAGCCCTCGGGGGTTGTGAACGTTATACCGCAGCCTCTCTCATTCTCTCCCTCCCCCCTCCATCCTCCCCCACCCCCCTCTCTCTCTCTCTCTCTCGTCTTCCTGCGACCGTATATACTAATCAATAACCATGAATCGCTCCGGTAACAGTGCCATGCACGTTCCGTTGCACCGTTATTGTTACTACGCGAGTGCTCGCGCCACCGTGAAAATTATTATCGCCGACGATCCTAGGCCCGCTCGAGCCCGCTCGCGATATCGTCCGGCGTCCGGCGAGGAACTCGTAAATCGTGACGAACAGCGGCCCTCGGAAATATATTCCGCCGGGCCTCGGTAACACCGTCGATTATTACGACCGAGAAATCCGCGTGAAATGCGCGCGCGGTACGCGCGACGAGAAAGCGCTTAGCGACGATTCCCGGGCGAGGTCGCGATCATCTCCATCGAATGTCATCCTGTATTCTCGATCGAGATATATATTTGTCTTAACTTTGCGTTCAAATTAATATTTATTACTTTTAGGGCCGGTTGTTCCACATTCGGATAATTTTATCTAATGGATAAATATTTGAAGAACGTCCGTACGGAAATAAACTACAAGAATATGAAAAAGTTACTAGTATACTATTCAAGAACACTATTGAAGAAGAATATATCAGCATCGGAAGAAGAAGAATATATCAGTAATTTTTTCGTATTCTTAGTTTATTCCCGTACGGGAGCGCTCTCCATACATTAATCCATCCAGATAAATTTAACCGAACGTACAGCAACCGGCCCCCAGATTAGTTAAATAAATAAGAGGAAAGTCTCTTTCGATAAATAATAAACTTATGAAATGGGCGCCCTTGATGTCACCACTGAAAATCCGGCATTCTACGGACTTGAAACTGCCTTAAAATATGCCGCACGGTCAGTTCGCATATATTTCTCCGTACGTCAGACTCGGAAACGAAATTGACCGACGGACAGTTCTCGTCATTAATTACCATCTATCTGCGGAGGTTAAAGCGGTCTCTCGCCCGCAGCGGCGAGGCGCGCTCGCCGAGCGAATCCTGTTCCGCAAGCCCGAGCTGGAATACGCGGCCGCTGAAATTAAAGATATAATTCTCGGTTTATGAGCCGGCTCGCGATTAGGGCTCGTCTAATTGACATAAGAATGATAGAACGGGCCGGGCTTTTATAACCGAACGGCGCGGAAGCATTTCCTCACGACGAGGAAAGCGCAAGGCGCTTTTCACCGCGGCTTATATTAATCCCTGCAATTTTAATGCTCACGACCCCGCAGCCAAATTTCAATAAGGTCGCTCTCCCGCCCCTCGACGAGCCGGCGCTCGCATAATTGATCTCCGCGTTTTTTTTTCTCCCTTCCATCGCGACAAACTTTTTCCAAGCCGCTCCCCTCCTCTCGCGCGCGAGGGCACGCGCTGCGAGACCGCAAGAGGAGAGCGAGTGAGATTTGAGAAGAGATATATCGCCGCGCGTGTATCTCTCCCTCTTCCTTTACCCGGCCGGGGAATATTATTTCAGATATACGCGATATTATGCGGGGTTCCCGTGAAAACGAATACGTTTTCAAGGCAAATTAGATCGCGCTATGCATCGCTGAGAATTAATTCGAATCTCCCCGAGTGCGAGATCTACTTCGCAGCGCGCGCGCGCACACGCGGCGATCCGAGATGAAACGGAGCCGTCCCCCTGTGTGAGACGAGGGGGGTCACGTCACGCGGCTATCGATTCGCGAGGCGTTTTCGCGAGTGAGAAAAAGATGAGCGAGCGGAGTGATCGTTAAAGCATTTCGGAATCAAGTCGATCCGAATAAGCCTCGGGGTGGATGCAAGGGCTGGTGTTTCGTCGACGACGATCTCTAATAAAGTTCAATTATCCCCGGAAACGTTTGAGAGCGACCGGGCCAGGACGGCCGGGAGGACGGGAGGGAGCAGAATGTAGAAGATACAAGAAGGGGAGGGGGGAAGGGAGTTCAGGGCGGGGTGGAAGGCACCGTCGAGAGAAAGAGAAACCGGGAGAGATGATAATCTAAACGATCGCAAAGTGGGCTGCAGAAACGCGCCGAAATTGGCAATAACAGGGTGGCGAGGGGATAACGGCGGCCGAGGGGGGGGGGGGGNNGGAGGGGAACAGCGCGCGCGGTGTATATACCACGGGGCCCCGGCGCGAACTTCCTATTCTGGTTAGCATTCAAATTGAATCTTCGTGGCGGCCGGTCGTGAAGAGTTACCGCCGTTAATGGACCTCGCAAACGCTCTCAAATTGCTGGCAGACTGCTGAGACGCGGCCCTACCTAATCTACCGGCTTGATTCTCCGTCAGGCTCCGTCTCTCTTTCACTCACTCACACACACACACACACTCTCTTCCTCCCTCTCTCCATCTTCACCACCTCTCCTTCTCCACTTCTCTTGTCGCTACGGTCTGAATGTATGTCGCGAAACTTTTTGGATCCACGAGGAGACGAGAGTCCGAGTCGAGAAATAATTGCTGCTAATGCGACGGTGGCGTATATACGAGCCTGTGAGGAGTCTTTTAAAAGCCTGCGAAACGTGATAAGCGGATTAAACGTTGCTTCGAATTTTATTAAACTTCCCCGATGAGGCGTGAAAACGCCGTACGCGCCGAGAATGAACGTGGATATTATTTTGCAGCGTGCTTTCATCTGATTTTATTGAGAGAGAGAGAGAGGGAGAATATGTGTGGCGCCAGCAACGCCAAGTGATGCTGGCGATAACGTCGACTCCTGCGGATGATTCCAGGTCTCACCGCACTTGCGCCGCGCGCTCGATTTTAATTGACGGTAATTGCCTAATAATAACGGAAAAGGCGGAAAGAGAAACGGTCTGCGAATCGTCCCACGATTGCGAGTCTGATCGGCAGCGAGGCGGCGTGTGTTACGAGCTACGTGGCTCATTGCCCACCGATGTAATTCGAGAGGCGAGCGCGGCCCGAGGAGAGAAAAAAAGAGAGAGAATGAAAGAAGGAGAGGGCGCCGACAACCGTAGGCGCCCTTTCGCAGCGTTACTTTTCTTCCGTTAAAACGAATTAGCCCGCTTGATATAAAGCCCGGAAACGTTTTATCGTGTTACCGTCTGAAAAGTGATTTCGCGAGCCCCTTAACCAACTCCGCCGAGGCGAAGGCACGACTTTTCCGAGGGACTCCGTAATTCAAGACGTCATTTGTATTCGCGTACACGCCTCTCTCTCTCTCTCTCTCTCTTTCTCCGCTCTCTAATTCTCTCATTTATATGCCTACGCTTGTTTCAACATGTCAGTTTCAACGCTGACGGAGTGACTGCAAACTGGTCACCGTGCGAGCGAGGCCGCCGCGTGTAGCTCACGGTTTCTTAGAGATGTTCAACGAGTTTCTGGACTCGTCCTAACGACCCTCTAGCTGAGATTCGAAATGGCTAATTTAGCGCGGGTGGCTCCCACGGGAACAGGGAGTTCTACGAGTCGTGAGCGCGCGCTGAGACGAGAGGGGGGGGGGGGGNGGGGGGGGGGGGAGACAAAGAGGAACGCGTTGCGAGTGGTGTGCGCGAGACGAGGTACGCGAGCTAAGCGGAAGATACGAAGGGAAGGGAGGAGGGAGTGAGGATGGAAACGGGAGACCTCCATGTCTTAATATAATTCTATTAGAGGTAACTATGCGAGCTCTGGTCTGCCCATCGCCATTGGATTTAATCACGAACTCAGCCAACCGTGCGATATCCTCCCGCGCAGCACCTCTCGGACGATTGCGGGAGGATAAGGAAGGGGCGATCGGGGGAGGCGGAGATGGCTGGGAGAGACTCTTATTGTCAAATTAACCGCTCGCGTGGCCGAGTCCTTCGCGTTTCCGGGACCTAAGCGCTTTCTCTCGCTCTCATTCTCGCTCGACGATGTCTTGCGAGATGAGACCATTCCTAGTAATTATTCACGGAGGGGTGGGAGACACTCGGTCGTCTCGAGCGTTCGCGCGGACTAAGTAACCGAGCAATTAAAAGTAACGAGTGTGCGGGCGAGGCACCGAGTCGGAGAATTGAATGAAGCCGCTCCTCGTATCCCGCGCGGCCGGGGAAAGAAGAGAGAGAGAGAGGCAAGACAGTAAAAGCGTTTTAAAATAAATTTCCGTTGTCTTGCGTGTGTTACAGCCGAGTTGAAAATGGACGTTCTTCGGGAGCGGGAGGTCAAGGACAGCCTGGAGCGGCAGCTACAAGACGAGCAGAAGGTGCGAGGTGAGTACGAGAAGCGTGCGAGTCTTATCTCGTCGGGCGCGAGTCGCGCGCTCCGGGAGACGGCTAATCTTTACGAGACGCCGAATCGAAGCCGGTTCACACGAGTTTGCAGGTGGCCGTTCGCCTTTCGAGCTTGCAAACACGAGAAAATTGACTTGGCCCCGCGCGCGGCGAAGTCAAACATCGGACGATTCGCGCGCGCTGGTAATCTCGCGGGCGTGCATCGACCGCCTCGGGCGGGTTTTTCGCGCGAGGGTTAACGCGTCGATAAATCAAGCGGCCGCAAGAGACGCCGCGCGGCGCTATAAAGTCACGGGCGATTCCCGTCCGTCGATCCCCGCGTATCGTGTTATTCCGCGTTGGGGAGGTCCTTCGCCTCGACTGGCGCCCTTCGACGTCCCCCTCGTCCACCTTGGCGCTCGGGTCGCCCCATAGACATCCTCGCGTCTAATGGAAGGAAGGAAGGAAGGAAGGAAAGCAGGCAGGCGAGCGAGCGAGCAAGCAAGGCGGTGCCGAAAACCGCGACGGAGCTTCGCGTATCGGGTGTCAAACCCGATAATAGAATAGTTACCGCGTTCGCTCGCCTCCCCTTAACCACCCTCTCGATTTTTGATTGCGACGTGCAACTATTCCCGGCTCTTTACTCCGGAGTTCGCCCCCTCCCCTCCGTAGTCGCCGATCTTCCACCTGCTTCGCGTAATTCAATGCGGCGCGGCTTTCAAAAACGAAAATTTCCGTGCGCGCTACTTGTTGCAATGGCCGAACGTGTTAACGCGCGCGATGAAATATCGAATGGACAGGTGAGGCGAGCGTGTACAGATAACTATCAATTTACGCGATTAATGCGCTACCCGTAACCCACCGTGTAAATTCGGACTCGCGTAAATCAAAAGCTGACGTAAGAAGAGACTCGGTATCGCACCGACGCGCGTGCGCCTACGTGAAAATTCCGACAATTTTATTCGCCCTCTTTTCCTTCGCTCCGCGCATTTCACCCGTTCTTCTCTTCTCTTTTTTCCCCTTCACGGGCGCATTAGGCGTGCGGATTCAAAGCGACTCTGTGAAAGTACGCGGACATCCGTGCACCTTTGATCGGGGATCAGAATCCCGGATCCTTGGCTGCTGCTTGCAGATATAATATCGCGGATTTTCGAGCTCGACAATGTCGACGTCTCGTCTGACGCGACAACAATGCGAGGCTCGATAAATATGTAAAAGTCGGGAAAGAACGGCCGCGCTATTCGCGGCTTTAGAAACGCGACGTGCTGTTCTATTCAAGAATAACGAGTGAGATAGTCCCCCGGTTAGCCGGCTTGAGCTCGTGTACCCCCCGCACAGCCGCCGGGAAAATTATATAAATTAAAACGCTCGGCGCCGGCGCGGAAGACACGCGCGGCGATGGAGAAGAAAAAGATTTCAATTAAGGAGACGCGATAGCGCAACCAGATGCCTCAAGGTAGTTGGTCAGTGAATTCATATCCCTAGGAATCCTTCCTCAAATTTTAACAACACATCATTCCCCTTACGGTCGCAAAATAATCGGCTGTGATCGTTTAATTTTCTTACTGTATAAGTCTTACGCTTCTCTCCGTGTATCCTTGTCGCAAATGACTCACGATTCCGTCGCGCGGAATCGAATTTTCGATATACGCGACGAGGCGTGCGTGTGGGACGTGAATGCGTTTCAGTCGATTCTCAGGAAAAACGACTCGGCTGCTAGGCCGGGCCCTCGCGGTAACACGAGCCTGTGACAACAGCAGTCCATTAGTCAACCAGCTCGGTGTCAATACATGAATATGACAGCCAGTCTCACGGAATATCCTATCCATCCTCTCTCTTTCTCTCTTTCTCGCTCTCTCCCGTTCGTCCCGTCTTCTTCCTCCCTGCCGCGTCCTTCCGACCGTAACGTCAAGCGAAACCATTACTCGCCCTATGATATCGCAAATGTAGTAAATAGTCCGCTCGCATTGTGCGGCCCAATCGATGACTTTATCTATCCGCTCGCGAGCGCGTACGTGTGCGTGTCTATAACACGTGATATCACGTTATCGCTCAAACGACAGTGTCGAGATCCACCTTTATCGGTGATTCGTATTTTAACATCATTGGCACGTTAATTTCGAAATTTAATAAATTCCCCCGATTAAAATTATTCAAACGAGAACTTTTCGAACGAGGAACTTTGCTCTTTTTATATATCCTTTACACCTCCCGTGTCTAATATAAACCTAAAATATCTGAACCTGCGCTCAACTTGAAAAGCAAAAAAAAAACAAAAAGTTTTAAACATAGTTTGTATCTCGTTCGTTTGCACCACTTTCCATTTCGTTTGTATCTCAAAGGATAAAACGACACACAAGGACGTAAACGAATAGTGACCGAGCGAGAGACATTTCAAATTCCTTCATGCCGTTTGAGTTTGTACTTGTTGGCATCTCCTTTCGAATTGTCCGTACCTCGAAAAATTTTCAACCATGCATTTTCGAAATCCATGAAAACTGAAATTTCGTCATTTTGGAAATACCTGAAGACGACAAACAGCGTTCGAGAATGAAGGCACGCAAAACGAGATACGAACAATGTTCCGAACTCTCACTTGCTGAAGCTCACACATCTGCGAATTCGAGCAGAAAATAATGTAATTATAGGTAAAATGATGTGTCGTTTCGACGCCGAAAATACCCGTGGCGCCGAGGGAAGGAATTCTTGCGTCGGAAAAAGGAAAAGGAGAGGAGTTCGTTAAAGAGCTCGCGCGTAATTTCGTCTCCGTTCGGGGCGTATCTCGCGAGAGAGCCGTAAGGCGATACGTAATTTCGTGCGCAGCCTCGCGGCTCTCGCAAGGATTCTACGATGATTGATGACCGGCCAGTCCCACGGATATTTACGCAGGCACTTCGTAAGACTTCCTCTCATTCGACTAATGACCGCCTTGTAAGAGATACCGTGTCAACCTTTACCGTCCGCCGGCGGCGTCGGTGGCGACGACGACGATCCCGGAGGCTTTAACGAGGGCGTATCCGTCGGCAGTTTTTCCGATCGAGTACTCCGCTGCACACCCCTTTTTCCCGCGGTACGAACGACGTACGATGCACACGTGCGCGAACCTTTCCTTGCCAAGCCATCCGGCGGTGTTTAAAATACCAAGAAAACAGCGTGCGGGCGCGCCGTTCACTTACTGGCTCGCTCGCTCGGGACTGTCGCACTGGTGAAACTCCAATAATAAAAATGCCCGGCGAGTTTAAAAAGGTTAAAAATACCGTAGTTTCGGAAAAAGTCGCTCTTTAACTCGGCTAATCCAATCTACTTATCGTCGTCGTCGTTGTTTTCGCTAATGAGACTACGTTACTACGTTAACGTGAGACGTGAGTGTAAACGACGTCGGGGGAACGCAGCTCCACTCGCTCGATACGTAATTCTACGGGCAATTTGTGCGACAGAATCGAAATCGTACGCGCGATACGACGGCGTCGAAGGGGAAGCGGCGTTATTAGCCCGTTTAAAGCCCCGCTTGGCATTTCGGTAAAGGTTGAAATCTTCGGCCTCCCGCCGGGCGGGGGTGGGCTTATTATCTTAGCAGGGGTTGTGAGAAATCCGGCTTCCTTCTCTCCTCGACGGCGGCGTATCGTGACGAGGGGGTTGCGAGTCGGATGCGCGGCGACTTTGTACGGCGAACAATACGATGACCTTTCGCGGCCGGTGAATGCACACAGTAGCCGTCGCAATTCTCTCGCCATAATACGCGAAAGAGCAACGACCCCTTTCGTCCGGCTAGAACATGCATCCCCGATCGTCGTTCGTCGAATCTTACTTCGCGATAAGTTGATCGAACGAAACCGTTTACTATCCGCATAGAAGTTCCTCGCGATTTTCCCAGAGATACAAATTAGAATACATTCCGACTAGAATATTCAAAGTTATCCAAGATTAGATTATCCCACCACGATACCAATTAGAGATCCCATTTGTCTGTGTTCAGCGGAGAAAATAAATTTAAGTGAGCTCTTAATGATTATTACTCCTGATTGGTACAGAAAACACCACTAATATTGTTCCATTTCTTAGGTATAGCGTCATCGAAAATTTCCATTTCGTTACGTGCGAATATTCGTGCATCATGACCGCTGCTTTGGAGGATCCTTGCCGATTCATAGAATAATCAGCAGTCATAATACACGAATATCGCACATAATGTCCCTTACGGGAAATTTTCGATGACGTTATATCTAGGAAATGGGACAGCGTCAATGGAGTCCTCTGTATATTTCCCTGGATCTATGGAGAATCTAAACGAATATTTCAGTCACAGACGATAAACACTAACATGGGATGAAGCCTCTTTTCTCTGCGATGCTGATTGATGAACTGTGCGCGCTACACGGTTTGCTCCGTGCCACGTGTGACTGTCAGACCCGCGTGACGGTTTGACCGAATGTCAGATTAGGAAATTAATAAACGGGCTGTAGCAAGATGTTGTTGCGAAAGTGATAAAATTTCGTTGGCATAGTGAAAAATTAATATTCTTAACAAATTTTTTTGCCGTCCAAGTAAATCTTTTTGCTATCATTATATTAGAGCAGACAATTTGCTGTCCCAGCGAAATCACTTTCTCTGTGAATGTTCGGTAAATGTTACGAAATCTTGCTTTCAGCTGAAAATCCCGAGAAATAGTCTATGCGGGTCTACAACAGATTCCTGTCGATCACCGAGCACACTTGACGAAAGCCGCTTCACGCCGGAAACGCGAGTTATTCTTCGCCGCGCGCAAACTCGGAGCGATTGTAAAACAGCCGCAGGAACAGGGATGGCGTCATCGTTTCCCTTCTTTTTTTTTTCTCTCTCTCTCCCCGTCGACGTAACTGGTCCGTACGAGGAAGTATCGTATCAACGCTCGCGAGGCGCGTTTCCCACGTTCTTCTGGCGCTTACGCAAATGCGGAAGATCGCGTACAGGCCCGTCTCGAATCCTCACGGGCGCATACTTGTCTGATACTTACTAGCGCG